AGTATTAAACAATACAGATGTTAAAACAATAAATTGCAAACTGGAAATGTTATATTTTAGTCCTAACCAGAATTTATCTAACACTATATTTTTTTAGATTTTTTTGCTTTAATAATAAAAATTGCCGAAAGTAGCAAAACAATGCAGATTTGTAAAAACAGTTCTAGATTTTTGCGTTGATAATAATTGATAAAATTGAACATAATTGCATTTTTGCTTTGCACTAATTTTTTTCAAATATTGTAATGCGTCTATTTTTGAGTCAAAGAAAGAATAAATTTTAAACAAAATTGAATTTTAAAGAAAAATAACTTGTTTACTCATAGAGCCCAGTTTTAAATMTTCTTACTTTGATTCAACAAGAGTTTTTAAAATGAAGCAAGATTTCCTTAAAAATTAAAAAAAAGAAAATAATCTCTCTCCTACAATACATGTCATTTTTTTAAAGAAAAATTTTCGGTGAACAATTTTCGCAAATAAATTAAGACATATTTTACTAATTCATATTTTTTTCCAACATTGCTTGTAGTTTTTTTCTTTATTATATATTTTTCGTTTTTTTTGTAAGTAGTTCAGTTATTTTTAGTTTTAGTAGAGTACAGTTTTTGTACATTTCATTTTATTTATTTATTTTTTAGCTTTCTGTTTATTTATTTTGTTAAGGGGGTTAAGTTTAAGTAGCATTTACTACTTCACTTTTCAAGTTTTATAATTCAAATAAAGACGGTTTATTATTATATGTGATTGTGTTTTGACAATGAAATTTTGTTTTGTTTTTGAATTTTGTGATTTTTTTCAAAATGACAACTTATTTGAAAAAATTGATTAAGATGTAGATAGTTGTAATCCTTTTACAGTGAGTGGCGAAATTATCGATTAATCTTATCTATTAAAACTGAAAATAGTTTGTTTTGACAGGTCAATTTTCTGTTTAAAAAATACCCAATTCCCAACTTGATTGTATGTTTGTTTTTTGTTGATATAATTCCATTTTTTTAATGATTTTCTTTTTTCGAGTATTTTGGTGTTACCATTTCGACAATTTTTTTTATCAAAATCGCAAAAAATTGGGGTTTCCATTAAAAAAATCCATTGGTAAAAGTTTTTTCTTAATTTTCCTCAAAAAATTTCCTCCAAAATTAAATCAAAAAAACTGATTTTTAATAAAATCATTATTCATAACCAATTTTTTTTAAATTTTTATTGATTTAAGCGTTTATTTTGTCCTAATTTTTTATCTATTCTGTTATTTGCCAGCAACCTACCTAAATTAAATCAAAAAACACCTAATCTTGACAATTTTAATTTGCAATAATTCAACAGTATTTTTATGAGATAAGATTACGATATGCACCTATTTCGTCAGTTTTTGGTGAACAAACGTGTTAAGTAGTTCAAAATGTTGTTTTATGGAGCATTAATTATAAGTCTAGTGTCCTTTTCTGAAGCCAAAATTCGCCCTAATAACGGTAAATTGACAAAACATACGTTTTTTTTATTACATTATTTACAGAAATTAAGGTAATTAATGGCAATGATGCACAAAAAGGGCAATTTCCGTGGCAGGTGGAGTTAATGTTGGAAACAACAGATAATAATCGTATTTTCTGTAGTGGTGCTATTATTAGTCATGTTTGGGTTCTCACTTCTGCGTCTTGTATTCAAAAGTGAGTAATTTCATTTGAAATAACCAAAATTTTTTTTTATTTATAGTGCAAATTCTATTTCTGTATCTTATGGATCCAATAATTCGAGTGATGCTACGACAATAGAATCTAAAAGTCACATAATTTATAAAAATTTTAACAATGATACTCTTCAAAATGACATAGGATTGGTGGAACTAAAGTCACATATAATTTTTGATGGTGATATTAAAACCAAATTTGAAATAATTCAATTAAGAATTAATTGTTTTAGAAACCACTCAAGCTATTTCTTTGAGTGAAGACGTGGTGGGGGATGGAGTTAACGTTACAATCGCTGGTTGGGGACACTCCAAAAATGGTAAAACTTCAATTTAACATTTACATAATTAATCAAAAAATCGTAGATTCCGATAAAAATAATAACAGAACTGAAATTTTACAATATGTGAATATTTCTACTATTAAGAATTCAGAATGTGCAGAAGTTTTTGGTCGTGACGTTGTTACTTCAACTGTGCTTTGTACACACAACTCAAGTCTTGTACAAGGTCCTTGTATTAACGACGGTGGAGCCCCCTTAATTATGAATGCCGCCACTGACCCTCAACATGTCGGTATCTTCAGTTTTATGGGAGAAAACGGGTGTGAAAAAAATTATCCTGCGGCGTATACAAGAACAGCATCGTATTTAGATTGGATTAAAAATAATACCGATGTTTAATTTATTGTCACTTGCAAATAAAAAATTCGTTTTTTTTTCCATTGAATTTAAATTAAAGCAAACAAAAATCACCACAATTTTCAAATTAACCAATTTTGACCTGATTCTCCAATTTCAATTATAAATTCAATGAAATTTTTGAAAGTAAAGAGCAAACTATAAGAAATAACATCTACATTTAAG